GAATCAATAGATTAGACCATTGAGTGTCAGTCAAAGTGTGTCACTCACGGGAGCAGCTTATTATCACTCGTCCATTGGATGGTTAAACCAGACAAATGTCTCATTCATCACATTCGGCACTAATTGGTGACCAAATTGTCAGCGAATCCGAAACCGAATCACTGAAGCCTGCGATGAAGTATCACATGAAGTATGGAAGCACTGGAAGTGACCACAAGAGTGTCAATAAATATAAATATATGACTCATACGGTACAACCGACGGACACACTCCAGGGATTAGCTCTAAGATATGAAGTGACGGTAAGCACTGACTTCGGTGATTGGCCACCAATTGATCAAACATTAATCTAATGATCTGTTATTGTCTTAATTGGTGATCTATAGGTGGAACAGATAAAAAAGGCAAACAATTTGTGGTCAAACGATAACTTATGGTTGAGATCGCGGACACACATCTCAATACCAGTGCTTTTGAGTGAAACGACTATAGAATCGCCGCTTTATTCTTCGAGTACTAACAGTTCCACAACGACTAGTCCTCATAAGACACAACTCAAGAACGGATCCCACAATTCGGTGACCGCTCACAACAACTCAAGTCTTGAAAGCGTTGACATTCCCCTCGACGACAAGGAGTCGAGTAGTTCTTCACGTGTAGAGTCACATGATATGCATTCAGCTAACGATTCAAAGTCTAAGTTAAAGAATGGCTTCAAAATGGCATCTCTTTTAGTGTCAAATGATGGACAGACTCACGATATGGACAGCTATGACAACAATGAGGAGATGGATGAAAGTGCAGCTGATTTTCTGATTCGTATCGACAGTTCAATCGCCAAATCAAAAGACAAAGTGAAAGATATGCAACAAAACCGATTGACTGGAACTCATTCCGACGATGACTTGTTCCGACTGACGAGCAATTCGTCTCAACGGTCAGCCCTTCGGCGCCATCACAGCAGTGCTTCGCGACCCCATTCGGCCAATGCTTCCGGGAATCAGATCCACGACTTCCCGCAACCATTAGTGATGATGACTCACAAGAGGAAAGTCAAGTCAAGTCTTAAACGTCTGGAGCGAACTCAGGACGAGATCTTCGAATTATGAGATCTATTCGATGACAATAATCAAGAGATTCTTATCTATTCTTTACCTCTCCATCGATGTGTCCATTCATGGCAGCCATTGACGGCAACTGATCACAACATGACATCACAAGAACTCTCTTCATATCAAGTATTGAAACGATTATAAAATGAATTTATATTTAAATATAATTAATATATTATTTACTGTTATATTGCGGTTAAACTCTAATATAGTTTTAATTTATACCTTAAAAAGCAATTTTTAAAACCAAATTTATTTCAATTAAATTAAGAGACAATTATTATTAATTCAAAGTCTTTATTCAAAACGATTTATTGATTTTCAATACAATCTTAAAAATTAATTTACTTTTTCGTCTTTTGGGCCTTTTTTGCTCGGTTTGCGGCCACAGTGTCGCGGATGCTCTTAAGGGTAGCCTTTTTCTTAGCGATCTCTACCTTATAGGCCTTATATTTCCTAATTTTGATGCCCAGCGCCAGACCAGCCTTCTTCAGCTCCTTCTCATCCACTTTCTCTCCCTTACGCTTCTTCAGCAGCACCTGTCGGGCGGCTCTTCGGCGCTCGTTATCGGTTCGCGAATACTTCTTGAGAACCGCTGCGTAAGGATTCAGTCTACGCATAACCAACGGGTTCTTCAGCGGATTCCTCTTAACCACACTTCGGAGGATTGTTGTCCTGAAATACAAACCATTATTTAGCATTTCATTCAAATACATGCGTTGAAAATGTTATTCATGTAAACAATAATAATCAGAAAACTATCACTAATCATAAATCATAGCCCAGTAGTAAATGTCATCATATTATCACTAAAAGATTGCTTTCAAAGTACAAATAAAGGGCTAAATGAATGAATACTCACTTTCTCGGTCTCAAAGCCTTCTGGATTTCGTCGCTCTTGAGAATCCTCGAGAGGTCTGTGTTAGACATCTTCGGCTGCGGGAGACTATCATTGACGGCAAATACAATCATTAAAATCAATTCAATTGTCAACCACACTATCCATTACTTGTAGTGTCTCTTGAGTTTGGACTCAGTCTTCCAGGTGCCGTACAACTCATCCAATTTTCTGAACGCACTCTCAGTCCAGATGACAAACCGCCCGACATGTCCTCCCGGAGCCAAACGCAACAAATTCAGCTTTTCCACGTTAATGGTCTCGATTCCTATCATTACAAACACCATTACCACACCATTGTAATCAAACCATAAGATTCAAATAATTCATTTGAGAAATGGTTAAAATTCAGAGCTTTTGAAAATAAAATCAAATCCCAGTTAAGGGTCATAAACACGGACCAAAAGCAGAGGTCATCATAGTTGCATACAATGTCTAAACTGAGTGCTAATTACGGTAAAACCTATGGAAGTACTCCAATGATTACCTGGAATATTACGGAAAGCCTTCGTGAGTCCCGAGTCGTTGCCGTAGACAATGACGGGTCCGAGTCTTTGGACGCGACGTCTGTCTCTCATCTTTCCCTTTCCGGCTCTCAATCGCTTCGACTTATAGACCTTTTCGATGTCATTCCAGGCCTTAATACTCCTCAAGAACTGAACGGCTTGTTTGGTCTTATTGTACTCCTGGATCTTATCGGACACCACTAACGGGAATTCCGGCACTTCTTCGATCAGATGACCTGACATTGCAGTCAACGTATGATTCAAATATCCAACAAATCCAGTCAATTATAAGACAAACCTTTGCTCATAACCACTGATGGGATGCCCGACGCAGCAATAGCCGAGACAATAGCATACCGGCGCTGATTGCGGTTCACCCTTCGGTGCCAACGTCTCCACGTGCGCGTCGGTGCGAACATACGTCCGCCGCGACACATATTACCGAAGGCTCCCTGACCTGAACGGTGAGTACCGCCGCCTCGGACTCGAGGAATACGAGCCACGGCTCGACCCGTTCCCCAGGACTCGGCACTCGTCTGATGGCCTGTTTGGCGACAAATCGAGACAATTAATACCGAATCCATAAAAAGGATAATAAATTGAAATAAAGAGTAAAATCAGAGCTTTTGAAAGAGAAATCAAATCCCAAGTGTGGGTCATAAACACGGACCAAAAGCAGTGGTCATCAGTGGTAAAGGGGAGTGAGAGGTGAGAGTGTGGGCACTCATACATACCGGCCTCCCGAGAGACAGCATATGGATGTCTCTTATTCTTGCGGACGTTTGTGTGCACGAAGTTCACGACATCCGTACGAATGGGTGCTCTGAAGACCGCCGGAAGTTTCACCGAAACACCAGAACTCTCGCTCTTATCGGTGTAGACACTAACCAAAGGCCGATACGCGGCTGTGGTCTGTAAATAGATCCGTGTTATCAGTCATTTGCGTAACTCTTGGCCACAATTTACGAGACAATCAATGAATGGGTAAATGAATGCATAAATGGCACGAGTTTTACGTTAGTTTTAAACTATTTATGCGTTAATAGTATTAACGAGACATTAATTGCGAGTAAATTGTGGTGAGTGTGAAGTGTTGGATGCGATGGAAGTGGTGGTAATGGTGTATATCTTACCATTTTGATGGTTCAAGACTTGAATCTCTGACAACACGTGTCGATGTCTTCTCAGTGAAGACCAGAAAAGGAAGAAAATGGTTGANATTTATGATCAGTTATTTTAATGCTATTTGCTAATTTTTTAATTCAGTTAACATACATTAATAAATAAACTTTATTTATAATTTTAGTCATTTAATATGTTATAATAATATGATAGAATTAAAACTATAATAACTTACTATAAATTATAGTCTATAATACAAAATGAGTGAGCACAATTTAAAATATACCACAATTAATAGCGTAAGATGTGTCATTTACAAAATATTCTAGTTTATTATTGTAAAATATTTTGAATTTTATATTAAATAATGTTGAAGTCATAAATAAAAAGTATTAATATTGAATTGTAGCAAGTAGAAAATGGAAAACTTTGTAATTTTTACTTTAATATAAAAGAATGTTTAAAAAAATTCCTTAAAATATGTCATAGATTAACTTTGCACACAATTTTCTACCTTCACAATTACCGTAAGATGTTATTAAACAATGTTAGAACTAGTCAGTGAGTCAATTTAACTTATTCAAATAGTTTTCATAACTTTTCCTAAATACATTACATAATAACCAAATTAATTTTGAAAAATGTGAACTCAATTTTGTAAAACCAATCATAGAGTAATTCTCTTATAAATCGTATACTAATAATACAACTAATAGTTAACTAAATCTACAAAATAAAATGTTCATCACTTTTACTACACATTCACTCCAATCACACAAACTATAACACCATTCCCTGTGTATGTGTCACACATATAGAGAAACTGATTCTTCTTATTACAAGAATCTTGTACTCTATTACCACTTAATACAGAATCATAAGAATGTCCACACAATTGGTGAGTGAGTCTCTCTCTCTCTCTCTCTCTCTCTCTCATACGGTAGACAACGGCATAATCGTCACTTATTCACATTGTTTTCAAACACAGTAAGTTCTGTTACTGAACAAACCCTTGGTGAAAGACTACCACACAGTCACTGTGTCCACTCATTTGGCTGTCACTCAAAATGAGACAATAAAATGACAAAAGAAATGGTTTGCAAACCAATAGCGAAGACTGACTTCAAAGTCTTCAATGCCTTCAATACCATCGAAGACAATACTAATCGTCAAAAGTCTTGCATTGTTTTACCGCAAAGACATTTGGCGTTAATGTGTCTGTCATTGGGTTTCCTATTCATATGGATATCAATGATGGCATCAGTTCTTGTGTCCAACACTTTCAAAGAGAATGTGTCCGCAAAACATAGTCTTCATGTCTTTCAGACTCACAAACAAATGGCAAGAATTGTCTTCTCTATCGGACACGAAATGGGTTTGTCTTTGAAAATCATAAATTCTTTGACACTTTTTGAATGCAATTAATTTCATGACAGTATCGACCGTCGATTGGTTGGTATCCATTGAATCCAAACCGAAGTCGTATTCGTTGACCATTGATGAGGCCATTGGAATCACTTGGAAAATGACTGATTCAGTGGTGATGGACATCAGACGTGATCTGAGCGGACACGACGGGGACGTTGTGTCCAAACTGTTGACTCTAATTGAGTTGAA